TTTTTAGCGCGGACCCGACGTCCATATAATTGTAAGTCAATGATTTAGGTACAACATTTATTTCAAACATCGAGTAACTCTAAAATTTCGCGACTAAAACTTACTAATTCACGACTTTTTCTGTGTGCAATCAGATCTAAGCTTGGAGCTGTGATTCTCGTGATTCAAAAAAGGTGCCGCCGGAATAAGCTTATTCCAGTGTGGACAATAAAACACATAAATAAATCCAAAACGGCATAACGACTGTTACGGACGGCCATACGCGCCTGGCCGGTGAGAGCTAGAGTTCAGAAGAGAATGAATAATTCAGGAGCCCTGATTGGCCGAGCGGCGTAGCGACCCATTGATAGGACCGGTACGATGTGGGAGACACCGTACTGGTATAAATATAAGCGATAATTGTCATTCGAATCAATCACTTTTTGGAATCACTTTCAAGCACTCTTACTTGTCACATTTAGTTGTTACCTATTTGTAAGTCAGATCGACAAATATGAATATACAGTCCACTTCAGATTAAGGAAGTTTCATTTTACAATAAGGATATCGAGGGAAGATTAAAGCAGGGCAGTTCAGTTTTGGCTGACTCCAACAACGACTATATCTATTTGTTTACCACTAGAACCGAGTAAACCACGACTTTTTTTAGTGTAATCAGATCTAAGCTAGGTGTTGTGGTTCTGGAATATGCTTATTCCAGTGCGAATAGTAAAATTCTCTTATATCTTTTGAACGACCGACTTTGAGCGGACCGACTAAACCTAGTTTGAAAAGAACCTTCCTAGAAGGTGTATGTGCACGTATCGACTCGAGATACACAATAGCTGATCGATTTATCGATTCCATGGTGTAAATCTCTATGGATAAATATTCCGTTTTACGCATCAAGTAGTCGAGGCAATTTATTTTTATCTTTATGATTTCAGTTTCTATCTACTTTAAATAGTATAATTTTTTATTTAAAATTACAAACAAATAGTTTGTTTTTGGTTCATTATAACAAAATTACTATTTCTTCTTGATCCTGATTATGAGAGTAACAAATATTTTTTTAATAATAACGCACACTCAACATCGCCCTGCACTAGGGTAACCCTGTCTCGGGTGCCATGGACACACACAGAGACAACCCAAACTCACGAGAGAAATAAATATAGACCATACAAATATTTCTCCCGGCCTTGGAATCGAAACTGGGACCTCTGCGTGGCGGTCCGTCACGGTTACCGTTCGTTACAAATTAGTATCCATGCAACGTAAAAATTCGAAATGTCACAGTACCCATGCTATGTGACATGGACTATAATTATAAATAATAGACGTTCATGATATTTCTTTATTAAAACTATTATTTATTAACATTATGTACCATTCATATCATCACTAATCATTATATATCATTCAGATTCCAATTCATCTTGGTACCTAACCAAACCGGGTTTCTTATCTCTATCATGTTTCTTCATATGCTGGTTCATTTTACTCCTCGTTATGAAGCGTTTTTTGCACACCGTACATTCGTGTTGCCTATCACCTAGATGCATTTTCATATGCATTTTGAGGTTATTCTTTTGTGTGAATGCCTTTGCGCAGATCTCGCATTGAAATGGTTTTTCACCTAGAACAAAAATAAATTAAGAGATTATTAAAATTTATATTTTTTTTATGGTGCGCCTGATGGTCAGCGACACGCCTGTCCATAACAGTTGCAGTGCCACTCGGAGCTTTATTCGCAAAGATTTGCACTGCACCGTCACCCTGGGAATATGCGTTTAAAAAAAAGCCGCTTTTTTTTAAAAAGCATAATGTTTAAACGTTTAAAAAAAAAGAAGCAGTTTTTCCCATGTTTAATAATTAGTAATGTTATGTAATTCTATGTATTAGTATAATTATGGACTATGTTGTCAGATATGAATAAATGAATTTGAATTAAGTTGCCACCTTGAGCTTCAAATGGCAAAGACCGGAGGGGCACCGATTTGTGTTTCTGTCACCCTGACACATAAAGTTGACATGTCACATGTGTGCCTGTAATTTGACCAACACCCTTAGGGATAGGTCGGGCAAGACGGGGATGTTAAGGTTAATCAATTAAGAAGAATAGAATAGAATAATTTATTTCATATTATCAATTTCATATTATTACAATTCGAAATATAACGTCAAGGTATAACACGGACTTAGTTATGCAAACAGGAACCAACCCACACCTCGAGTAAAGTTATGTATTTAGGTAGAACACCAGACGTGCGTATCCTGGCAATATACCAAGCCAAAACGGAGAAAATAAAAGTCCTTCAGGGTACCAACCCTAAATAAGTAACTTTTTAATAGCCAAAAAGAACCACGCTGCTTAAATTCATATAGTGTATTTTTCAAAATATGCAGAACGGATCCATGTCACATGTACTGAAGTACTGTAGATTTTTTTGCGTTTTCATTACGAAAACTAGAACATGGTTCTCGTTAACTAAATAAAAAGATACAGAATATTTTCTATTTATTGCTATATAATATAATCTCTCACGATGTTTGTCTCAAATAAGTTACCTATTTATTTCTTCACACTGTTTTCGCAAAAATGTAATTATCTCGGAAGTGACATTAGTTGTTATAATGAACCAAAAGCAAACTATTTGTTTATAATTTTAAATAAAAATTATACTATTTAAGAGCTTTCATGCCAAAAAAGTTTTGACGTTGGCTCCGCCCAAATTTGTGAAACAAAAGTGGGTTGGTTCTAGTTTGCATAACTATGTCCAGTCATGATCGTCATTAATGTAAATAATAATTTTATTGTTAATATAAAATAAAATAATGAAAAGGTATTAAGGGTCGATACAATCTCAGCAAAATAGGTAAAATTGCATGTACAAGTATTAATAATAGATGGCGTGTCTACAAAGAATTCTCCGTATCAACGCCACCGTAATTGTCAAATAACTAAAAGAATAATTTAAATCCGGAAAAATAGTTTCATTTCCTATGTGTAACAATCGCGAAAACCTAAGAACTCGATAAGTTAAAATAAAAGTTAGAAGAGTTGATAGGACAGTTTTAAAAAAGAGTATAAGAAGATCGTAAGGTGCGACTGAGCGCAGTGCTACGGATACACTAAACAATCTATGAGATAGGAGGGATATGTATGTTATGGACAGACGTGTCGCTTACCACTAATTTTTCAAAAACTCACCTGTATGCACCAACATATGTCGTTCCAGCTCCACCTTTCTGTAGAAAGCGGAATCGCATTCTGTACATTCGAAATTTTTTATCCCTTTGTGCATTAACGCATGGGTTTTTAAGTGACCAGGTTGACTGTACGTCTTGCCACAATATGTGCACATGTAGGGGCGTTCACCTGAAATTATTTCATATCAAGTATGGTGAAGCCTGTTTCAATGAGCCCTATACTCTGAGATGGTATGGAAATCCAAAAATGTAGGCATGCAACAAAGGTGACGCCATTACAAAAAAAAATATATATATTTGTACTCCTGTACTTTAATATGTCAATTATATTGTATAAGACAATGACTTGCTTAAAGCCATACCATAATGGCGCTCTTTATAGTTTAAAACAAATAGTATTGTCTATAGTACACAGTACTAAACTGACATGAAAAATTTTATTATTTCAAATTTTTTATTTCAGACCATGTCCATAGATGCTAATAACAAAAAAGTATACTTATAGCTTATGGCAGTATAGAAAATTATCATGACATCCAATTGAACTAAATCTACAATACAATGCAATAGTACATAAGAAATTACTAACGGGGGCTATTAGAAGCCCGAAGCCAAAGACTGAGGGATTCAATAACTGAGTAGAGAAGAGTTTTGTATTTTTTTACCGTCCGCGATGCATACAATTTTGTTCATCCCATTTGTGAGGAAATAAATACATTATAAATATGATTCGCAACACAACAATTATGAGTTTGGCAAATGGCGAGTTTTTGTCTTTTTTTTAAATTATTCCATAGATAATACAACTCGACCTAAAATGTTGTAAAAAGCAAACACGAATACAGCTATGACGGTTTGTAAAAAAAATTTGCTAAATTTTTATACAGAAAATAATGAAAACCAATTCTTAATAATAATTACTTAAGTAGTATGTGGCTGAATTGTAGTTAAATTTCTTTTTAGACAACATTTTAAGCGAATGTTTTAATTTTGAAGTTCAGTAACCTCCTTACTTGAACTTAAGCCTGACCTATGTAAGAAAGTATGTCGTGCTACAAATTTTCACAAATCTCCTTAATGGCCGTGGGTTTTATTTGGAGCATCAAGTTAGCCACCATGCAATCAAACCATTTATGAAAATGAAATGTATGTAGTTTTATTTTTCTTTCTTTCCTTCTTTCTTCAGTTATGAAATTTCGTAACGGGATTAGGAAGGTAGAGAAAGAGTGAAAAAGAGATCTGTGCGATTCACGTAAGTTCAAGCTATCAAAACATCGTTGAAGTTGCGTAGTCGTGGTTGTGGGTTCGAATCCAGACTCGCACCTCTGAGTTTCTCGAAATTTGTGCGAAATTTACCATGAGCTTTTCGGTGAAGGAAAACATCGTGATGAAACGTTGAAGAAGGTTCAAAGTCCTCGGAAAACATGTGCAGTCGCCAACCCTCATTGGGCCAGTGTGGTGGACTGTCGCATAAGCACTCGCTTGAGAGGAGACCCGTGCCCAGCAGTGGGACTTGTAAATGGGTTCATGATAACGATGAAATCTGCCGAGTCTAAGGAGGGAGAATCCGCCGGACCACATTTATCTTGGTCGAGTTTTAGTAACCAAATAAAACAATTATGACAAATCATTACTTTTTATTGGCCCTTGAACAGTATTAACTTAGTATACATATTTCGAACTGAAAAAGTATTGAAAAGTAAAAAAAAAATACAATATTTAAAATGACCCATAAATTGGGGAAAAGATAGCGGCAAAAGCACGGTATCCCTAAAATCAGCTTAAGCCTGTCTAATTTAATTTATACGTTATTTATTTGATTTGTCATATCTCTTTCTCGCATATCATAACCACTGCTGGTAGAAGCGAGATGGATATATTTGACAAAAGTAAGATATTCTCCTTATTTTAGGAGGTTTTATAGATATAGATTTTATATATATAGATTATATAGATTTATTTGTAAGTCAATGCGTCCCACAAAAAAATTTGATTTACTGTGTTGGTTGGGAGTTGCAAAATATAGAGGGGATGAGTTGGAATTTAAAATACGCGGTTAAGTCACATGTGATCATACGTCAAAGGTGTTTTTATCCCATGGTATACATCCCCTAGTTTCCCACCTTTACAACAAAATTTTAATAGGACTTACAAATAAATGGACGACGGCGTCCATTTATTTGTAAGTCAATGGATGTAAATAAACGTTTTCATCACGCTTGCTCGTAAATCTACCGTCCGCTAACTATAACGAATTTTAGAATACTGAAATTGTTTCATGATATTTCAGCTATGCATCGTTCGGGTAAGTTCCGATAAGTCAAACACGTTAACTGATTTTAACTGATTTCAAAACAGAATTTTGTACTCTATATAAAACGGATATTTGACCATTTGTTTTAGTGGACGGCAGATATAGTATGATTGCATGGTGGCCAACTTGATTATAATGTCCCAAATTAAAACCCTCGGGCCGTTTTTCTTAACATGACAGCCATGGTCGGTAAGGTGTTTTTCTTTAATTTGTATCACGCATTGACTTACAAATAAATGGACGACGGGTCTAATACAAAAACCACGAAAAAAATGTCCCAAGTCAACCTATTCGAAATTTAAATTGTAATGTCATCGCAGTATCGCGCTGTCAGTAGAACAAATGAAGACTGTCGCGCTCTGTATACGATTTTAGCGCCTTACAAGTGCGGACACTTTTTAGCGCGGACCCGACGTCCATATAATTTTAAGTCAATGGTATCACGGCATACTTCTTGACATTGGTCAAGTTCAAGCAAGGAGGTTTTAAGTTCAAAATTAAAATGTCACCCAAACTGAAATTTAATTGCAATTCAGGTACGTACTACTGAAATATTTTATTATTAACAATTTCCTATAATTGATTTTAATTATTTTCTGAATAAAATTGAGCAAAATCTTTTTTTACAATCCATCATGGCTGTTTGCGTCCTTGCTTTTTAACAACATTTTAGTTCGAGTTGTATTATCTATGAAAGTATAGCTAGCTGGCCATCTATTGATAAAAAAAAATTGAAAAACCCGCCGTTTGTTGTATTGTGAACCAATCCACAATTGTTGTGTTGTGAACCATATTTATTCATACAAGAAATAAACATTTTACTATTTTCCTCGCAAGGCTGATGACCGGACTGTAAAAAAATACAAAACCCGAGTTATTTAACGCCTTCAGCCTTCGGCTTCGGGCTTCTAATCGACTCAGGTTACTCCTTTCTCATTTACTTACCAGTATGTGTTCGTTGATGTTTTCTTAATTCATATCCAGTTTTAAATGACTTATCGCATTGATCACAGTAATGAAGCTGCTTGGAAGGCACACGGCGACGCTTTCTGAAAAAACATTTTAATAATTTATTTATTTTATTCGATCGATATAAGATCGAACACGTAGAAAAAGTTTTCGACCCGATCGATGGAACTTGAACCCACGACCATACTGCACAGTAATATTGCTATTACCAACTGAGCTACGACTACGGGTCAAGTTACCGAGTTGTCGAAATTCTTCTGTTTTTGTTAAAGATATGTACTGGATTTTTCAGCTTTCTGAACCGATAGTGACATCTAGTGAGAGATTTTAGAACCTTATTTACCGCAGCCGGCACCTTTACAGGTGCCTCAACTGACTTGTTTCTGTGTGTTCGAGCTTCGTATTAATAATCTCAATAATATAATCCAAAGTTTCTTCGTACTCTGTCATCTATACAAATCACCAGGACATACACTAATACTGTGAAAGGGTCGAAGATGGGCGGAGTAGGATCAGAATCCATAGTATCCCTCCCCTATCAATGGCCAAGAACAAATGAAGCGCGCGAACTACTGCTGGTACCGCCTGGAATATTGTGTAGGATTTAATGTGGCAGGAGAGTAGTAGCCTCCGCAGCCTCCACACATCTTGCTTAACCAATTTATAGTTCTTATTATTATAATTTAAAAGAAATAGTGGAAATAAATCCAATTTTATAAACATTTATTCCGGTTTTATCAATATTTATGATCTTTAAAATGTTTAACGCACAAGAGATTTTTGGTAACTGGTAAACGGTTCGAAAAATTACTTATTAGACGTGTTCGCTGACGCGATCGGGCGGGGAGTGACGATGAAACGAAACAAAAACAGAATGGCGAAGCAAAGGAATTATTAAAGAATGATTCAAAATTTAAAAACGAGTGGCCAGGAACCGGAGAAAAGGCGTTATAAAGGTGGGATGACGATGTAAGGAGTTCACATCGTCACACAACTATATACAAAGGTACAAAATCTTCTCATAATAACACATGGACAACCCTAGGTTTGGTTCACACGTAACTAACACGTATGAAAACTAACACGGTTATCACACATTATAATATTAACGTAACGGAACTTACTCGCGTAGTATTTTAGTTGGAAGCGGTCCAACTAGTTTCGACCATAACCGATGGCCTTCTTCAGGGGTTGAGTGCAACGTTCGCGACCGCGTCACGTCTAGCAATGCGCGCTGCGGCTCTCTGCACGCGCGTCGATGACGCACTCCGCAGTGGGGAACTCGGGAGGCTGATACGTTGCGTCAGCGCGTCCTGGAACTCTTCTTGGCTACTGCTGTCCGTAGGATTGTTGTCGGGAACAGTCCAGCACACAGAGCTCACCACGTCGTTACCATTAACATCTGCAGCTGCATACCGAGCGCCATGAAGACACGGCTTCCAAGTCGGTGGCAAGCTCAAGTTCGGATGTGATTGGAAACTTTTTACGCCGAAGGTACAGCATCAAGACAATATTCCGTCCACTCACACAGCGGCGACAATTGCTTCGCTCTCCAAAGGATAGAGACCCTCTGGGGGTCCCCGGTGTCTATATGGTTCCCTGTGACGTCGGCGAAACGAGACGGAACGTGGCTACTAGGCTAGCTGAGCATATCAACCCCTGAAGAAGATCATCGATTATAGTCGAAACTAGTCGAACCGCTTCCGACTAAAATACTACGCAAGTAAGTCCCGTTACTTTTATATTATAACATATTAGTTAACTATTCGATTATAAACGGATAGAGAGAGGGGTGTTACCACGATATATTTTCATGCAATCATCATTTCAAGCAATCGTACTGAGAACACGTCTGTGATGGATCCACGCTTTGTTGCACTTTTATATTGGCATAAAGAACAGAAAGAAAGAAATGGCCGAAAGTTAGTGGGTTCATCCAATGAATCAAGAAGGAGTGCGTACAAACACATTCGAAAACCGAAAATAAATACGAATACTTTAATAGACGCCGCTTGTTCGGTGACTATATAGTCGATAAAAGACGTATTACTTCGCGACGTGTGAAAGAGATGCATTAATACTATGCGCCACAGCCACTGACTTACAAATAAATGGACGACGGGTCTAATACAAAAACCACGAAAAAAATGTCCCAAGTCAACCTATTTAAACGTAGTGACATGTAAAGGAATATGAAAAAGCTAAACGTTGAATTTTAATTGTAATGTCATCGCAGTACTGTTTAATTTTGCTTGCTTCGCTGTCAGTCGAACAAATGAAGACTAAAGCGTGAATGACGCTCTGTATACGATTTTAACGCCCTGTAAGTTCGGACACTTTTTAGCGCGGACCCGACGTCCATATAATTGTAAGTCAATGGCCACAGCACACCGAATACGTTACAGTTCACTCGATTCGCTTGACAAGTCGTATTCGATAAACGTATAAGAGCTGTGTGCGTTTCTTTACAGGATAAACAACGTTTGAACGGTTCAATATCTAATGTATGCGCCACTGTTTATTCGGTAAGATTTATACTGGCAAAGAAACGTACCGTACAATTCCGTGTGAACGGGGGTAAACGGTTTGTAGACAGGCTGGGGAAGCACTCCTAACGCTCAACGCCAGTCTATTACGAAAACTCAGTCTAACTGCCGACCTAAGGGTCATGGTTCATACAATAAACACCTTTTCAATTTAGGTATCACAGACAGCCCTCTATGAAGAGCGTAATTGGAGGAGGAGGAAACGGCTGTGCACATCCTACAGTGTGCTTCGGCGTGGTCAACTACAGGGCGAAGTACCTTGGAGTGCTGAGGTCGCTCCCCGAAGTCTTCAGCAAACTGAGGAGGTTGCTGAGATTCCTGGAGGACCTTGGGGGTGGCACGAGTAGGACCGTACACCCACCACATGCAAAATAAGCGCCTTGACGTAGATTTGCGGGCACCAGCCCGTTACACCAAGTACCAGCCAACCTTTTCAAGTACCAAAACTTTCTGCCGCTAAGCAGTAATGTCAGCATTACTGTGTTCCGGTTTTGAAGGGCAAGGGTGCTGGTGAAATTACAGACACATAGGACTTGTCAACTTACGTCTCAGGGCGACTGGCGCTGTGGTAGTGCCCCTCAGATCTTTGCAATTTAAAGCTCTGAGTGGCACTGAAACTGTTATGGACAGGCGTGTAGCTTACCACCACGCGCACGACTTGTTCGTCCCGTATCTTGATGTTATAAAAAAAAACAAAGTACTAATACTTACTTCTTAGGCTGCTCTTCAACTTCATCATCTGAGATCTCTATGATTTCACACTTAACGACTATTTCTTCAGGGGTTCCTGCATCTGGCTTGTCAGATAGAGGATCAGGTACCGGGTCAACAGCTTCCATCGCTGCCATTTCTGTAGAGCTGGAATTTTTGTGATAAAATGTCAATGTCAATAAGTTGAGTTCTAATGGATGGTACCAAAATGTACATAAACAAACATATGAGTGAGATTAATCTAATAAATAGATTAATTTGCACGAAACATAGTGGTCGAGATAACCATGTTTCGCCAGAAAATAAAGATAGGCATGCAAAAATTGGTTGTTACGCAATGAAATTATCTACAATTAATAGGTGCTTTAAGTTATTTATCTTTGTTTCTTTTTTCAAAAAAATACAATTAAACACAAAAAAAAGCATGGTGAGGACAATAACAAATTCAATGATCGAAATGGTTTCTGAGCAAAAAAATCCCGATTGTCCCTTGAGGACTATCTCCAAGACAGTCGTCAAACCGATTTGGAGTTATGGATTACAACCATGGGGATCAGCAAGTATGTCAAACTTGGAGATATTACAGAGGCTCCAAAATGGTGTGCTCAAAACTCTAGTAAATGCTCCATGGTTCACAAAAATAGATGACATACATGATTAATCTGAAAATCCCTACTGTCAAACAGGACATAAGTAGCATGACAAAAGCCTATAAGGACAGAATCTCACGACATGAAAACAGGCTTGCACAAGCGCTCTCTCTCTTGCTCTCGCTTTCTCTTGTTGGAAGAGGGTACCTCCATAGTGGTCCCATTTAATTTTGAAGTAAATCATCCACCTCTAAGGGTGGCCGTTCACGCATGGAGATTCTTTTTTATAAATAGCGCCTAAATCTTATTATAAGGAGCAATTATTTTAATTGGTGATTTTGCTATTCTCTAATTCAAGGCGTTTTTCTCTTTCAATATACTTTGAGTAGTGAGAACCGATTTTTATTATCTCCTGTGTCAAGTCTTGTATAGTAGCGAACTAGGGGATGAAACTGGGTTTGCGCATTTTCCGGAAACCGATTTCAAAAATACTTGGAAAATAGATGTAGCTCCACATACTTTTGAGGTCGGTTTTTTTAGTACTCTGTACTGAGATTATAAGTTATATATTACAAATTTAGTGTTAACTAACATTAGAACTTTTGTGCCATCCTATTTTATAAAGCGGTTCCAACTGAAAACCAGCATTACAGCAGGCAAAATATGACATATGCTGAGTTGGATCCGTTTCAGCTCATATTTGTAATCATTAATTTGTTTTGTTTTGTTCTATGTATATAAGTCTTAATAAGCTGAATAAACCTTTCTTTCTTCTTTAGTTAATTTAGAACATTTTATATAAGAATACAACCATAACTCAATAGGTATGTTTTTATTGTTACTATATTAACTTTTAGTTTGCCAAATTTAATTGGCCGTCCATAAGAACCGGAAATCGGTCTGTCTCGGATCTGCGAATGCCGCAATGGAAGAGTTAAAATCTAAAGCTGCACTCGGCAAGTATCTCTTTTCATCATGATAGCAGGCATTATAGTGTATGCCATTGATATGAGTAGAAGAAGTCCTTGTGGATAATTTTAATTTGTAAAATGGGGGACATCTTTTTCACCAATGGTATTTATTAGTAACATTTTTGTATACTAGTTTTTTAAAATAATACTGCAAGATGGCCATAATTGTGTGTACAAGATTGTATAATAAGACTTTTAATTTACTTTCTGTAATTTTTTATAAGTAGCGGGGTATAAATACTCCAACCGTTCTGAATGAGCTCACTCTTTGGCCGAGTGTCAAGCAGTCAACATCCCCTGAGGATGCCTCGTGGACAGACAAAACGCCAGTCGGGTATATGTGCACACAAGCGTGTTATTTATTTTATTAATTTTATGCAGGGGAGGGCGGGATAATTAAGTGCATGATAAAATATTCCTACACGATTTAACCTTCACTGGGTTAGCAGAGTAGCAAATTAATTTACTTCCATTTTTATTAAATAGATGTAATTCCACGAAATTTTGAGGTCTGTTTTTTTTATAAAGTTATAATTATTTTCCTTTTAACTATCATTCTATAACTTTTGCAGAGTTCCCCCATACTTAGGCTAATTTAAGACTCCTACCACTCCCATGTTTTAATTCATTGTTTACGCAGAATAAAACAGCCAAATCCGTTAATAAACAAACAATACACTTAGAAAACATAACCTTAAACTTAATAGATCACAAATTCCCTACAAAAGACTAAAAGGAAGCCACAAATAAGAATAAAAAAACCGGCATAACTTAACCCACGTTGCATTACCATTTTTTTACTTAAGAGAGATCAAGATATGATGGAGATAAAAACGTAAAAATTACACTTACATTATATCATCAACGTACGACTAAACGGGAATAATAAATCACTTTACTACATTAAAAACTTGTTAATCGGCGTATTAAGTTTAAAATAAACATAATTTAACGCTTAAATAAGCTATATTTCTTGATATTTTCGAGTTTATTTTGAATTTTACAGAAAAATCCAATATTTTTTCTGTCACACGTATACTTGTCAAAATCAACCGAAAGTTGCGTTTTGATTTTAGTATGCTTTAAAAGGAATACGATTCATTCAGCCCAGTTACTAGTAAATTGATTTTTGAACCATTGAATTATTTTTTTCTTCTGTTATTTAGCATACAACCACTTTATAGCATAAAGAAATTCTTAGCTTTTGTGTTAGCTTTCACCTAATTAAATTAAAAACTAGAAAAGTATCCACTACGCTACTGATTTTAGATAGTCATGCTTGTTTCTTTTTACTTCATTTAAATTACATACAATAACGTTAAAATTTAAACTTTTCAGTAGTTATTCTTGCAAATCAAAGAGAAAGTGTACGACGTCCATCTATGATAAGAAAGTTTACGAAAACACGAATCGGCTGTATTATTTAAAAAAAAACTATAAATTATCAGTTCTCGCGATTCGCTCTGGGCCTTTTGGAGGGAAAAGTGTCGATTTTATTTTGACTTTCAATTATTTTGTGAAATCTAGTTTAAAGTGGAATAGGATAGTGCTATTGTGCCTTAATCGAAGATTAAAACGCGAAACTATACGAATCTCGAACTAAAATAATAAAGGTATCCTGAGTCAATCCAAGCACGCCGCCTCAAATTGCTTATCCTCATTGTGGCGGCCATATTTACAGAAACATAATTAACCGAAGACATGGCTCAAAGCACTTGTATCCAAGCCAAAATTATTAATAAAAAAATCAGTTCTCGCTCGTGATTGGTCGGAATTATCAGATGAAAATACGCGGGAAGTTCAAACAGCACCCAGCAAAGTGCTCAATCAATAAATCAACCAATTAATTTATTTCTCGGAATGAGGTACACAGGTTCTTATTTTAAATAAACCCAGCTTAATCTAACGTATTTAATTGGTAAGGAAAAACGTATATTATTCAAATATTTACTAGTTGTTTGTATAATGGGTAATGACCAAACGCTCTATTAACTGAATAAACAAACGTTGCTTATTAAAAAGATATAAAAATAATAAGGAAGTAATAGAAAAGTGGGGTCATCCAGGAAACGAAAAGCTGGATTGGTCAAAAGTAGACTAAAGACCCTTTATTGGCATTTCAGCGCGAGTTTGCATAATATGATAAAATTTATAATGTACCGGTAAAAAAATGCGATAACCAAAAAAATAATTAATTTCATTAGGAACCTCCAGCATGACCTATTTCGGCCAGGAAAAATAATTGTTCTCAAAATCAATTGAACCAAAATCGGACCCGTGAACTTCGTGCAGGCATGAGGTGGAATGGTGTAAAAAAATAACGAAATTAATTTAGTTAGGTCATACTTTAAAACATTATTTAGGTGGCTCAGCAGTGCTTAATATTGTATGTAGTACCTCTTGAGTCGTGTTAAACTACATTACATCATTAATACTACTAATTCTATTAAAATAATACGGAATTGCACAAAATCTTACACAAAACTGGCTTAGGTAAATCCTTGAGAAAATTATCAAATAAATCATTCCTAAAAGTAGGTATTTTATAAAAATTCTACGTTCAAACACGGCTACTTAGCTTATAACCCAACTAAATTAAACTGTATTTGATTTTCACGATTAACTTATAAATGTTTATGTCCATCGCATTTAGCAGGGTTATGGATAACCGGGTCAAATGATGTCATGATACGTAGTAATTTTAAAAGTGACGTGATCTCATTTCCACGTTGAATTCTGTTGACTGTGCACGTTTTTTGCGTTAATAATTAATTTAAGAAAATATATTTATTGTGTATTTGCTTAGAATAATAACGCATAGAAACCTAGCCCGCACACACTAAGTGAGGCAAGTTAGAGGGTTCCAAACGCGTCCCAGGAGCGCGCGGGCTGTTAGTGCTCAAGGTCATATTGCACCGCGAACAGCTCCAAAATTTTTTGCTAAAAATGACGAAATGTGCGGTAAATGGGTGTAAAAATACAACAGACAAACATAAAATAGACACTAACATCGCATTCCACAAGTAAGTAATGCGTTTCAACTCATATTTTTATGTAAATATTCACTAAAACAGAAAAATAATTTCGCGGCAACAAGATACGAAAGTGTTGCAAAGTAACGAATTTTTTTTCTCCCCATTTTGCTATTCTGTATCAAAATAATTATATTACGTAAATTTTAGTGGTGCCTGTAATTTAGATTTATTTGCGCATCTTGAACTAATATTTACTTTAATAAACATTAAATGTTTTCGTTAACTCCTGTAAGTGATTGGGACACTTAATTATTTTATAATACTTTTAACGGCTCTGCGTTCATGCTTTATTGAATAATTATTTATTTTAATTTTATTTGAATTGGAGCACATATTGCAACAAATTTACAGTACTTATATATTTGTTTCTACTATAGTGTTGGCACCACCAGTACAACTTTGATAGCTTATTATATGTCTTTCTTTTCGTAACTCAAGCGAAATATTTTATATTAAAATATTTTATTTTCTTAAAAGGGGAGCATTCTTAAGCGATTTTTTAATCTATTTTAACAGTTATTTTCTTTAATGTTTGCTTATGGCATTTTCGGTTTTAGGTTTCGAATATGGCACTTATTTCTAAATCCAAGATGCGGGCGCGATTTTTCGAATAATGGCAAGTTGGGTATCGTTTCCGAGATGTTTGGGAATGTTCAATACAAATATGGCACTCATTTCTAAATCCAAGATGGCAAACACGACAGTTCAAACAAAAGCAATATTCGTAATGAGCACTCCCAAATACCTCGAAAACGATACCCAACTTGCCATTATTTGAAAAATCGTGCCCGCCATCTTGGATTTACAAATAGTGCCATATTCACATTGAGCATCCCCAAATACCTCGAAAATGATACCCACATAGCATTTTTTTGAAAAAATCGTGCCCGCCATCTTGGATTTAGAAATGAGTGCCACATTCGTAATGAGCACCCCCAAGTACCTCGAAAATGATACCCATATTGCATTTATTTCAAAAC